TATGGGGCAGGGTGGCCAGAAACATATCTTTAGTTTGAAAAACTTACTTTGCACTGTGGTGCAGGCGGGAGATCTTGGCCAGCTCTGCCTCATTTTCACACACCAGATACTGGATGTTGTTCTTGGCAGCATGTTTGATGTGAGCCAGCTGCTTGCAAACACCAGACAGAATGATGTTTTCTGGTGACACGCCATGATCCAGAGCTAGGTTCATTTCAGCCTTGGAGGAAGAAAAGGGCACAAACACACACAAAAAAAATGAAGCTAAAGACAACAAAGTCCTATAATAAGCAGACAGTACCTCCTGAATGTGAAAAGACATTTATTGTTCAACTGTAATGTCATTTACCTTGTTTGTGCAAACAAAGCCCAGGCCCAAGGATGCCAGCACCTGTAGGACTACTGGGCTGCTGTTGCACTTGACTGGGTAGTATGGCTGCAGCTGTGGTACAATGCTCTGCCAGCAGGCATGTTGTCGCATCAGCGCACCAAGGTCACCCACCACAAATGCACTCTTCTCTACCTGTAAGCATAAAGATAATGAGAGAGATATTGGCTGAAGTACAAAAAAAAATAAATGACCAAATAGCACCTGAAAACACTGAAAAAGGACAATCTTCCTCAAAATAAATTTCTATCTTTTTGGGGAAACTGACCAGAGCCTGTTCGTAGATGTGTCCATCAATTACGTCTTCAAGAGTTACTCCTCCCTCCAGGAGTTCAACGATGTCATTGGGTTTGTCAGCGAGTCCTTTCATCTTAACCGTATTCCGCTAAACCGACAATCATAAAGAACAGATAAACAAGTCAAAGGGTCACGACTGAGCCAATGGGGTCCTGCCGGTATGCAACAAACTGGAAGAGAAACAGAAAGACAAATAGGGTTATTAGGTCACCTGACACATGTTCCATCATTATTTCACACAGAAATCAAATTACAGGAAAAAATGTTCCTTATAAAATTAATAGAAACACCAACTGCATATCAATATAGTCCTTAAGTAGATTGCTTAATTTCTCAACACAAAATGTACTTGTTTTTTAAGAACACACTTCAGTGTAGTGGTTTTCTTATGACACCCAGACTTTGTTCTGTTCACATCAGTGGGATTATGTGTGAGCATATCATGTCTCTGTGTGTAGAACAGACACTGAGTCACTCACATGGACAAGTCAGGAGATGGACCTGTCCCGCTATCAGCTAGGATCCCAAGGTGGCTCAGCGTTGAAGTCAAACTGCTCCCGGTAAAGAGCCGCCCCTAGGCCCTCTGGGTAGCGCTCATACACCTGTGCAGAGACAGGGGAGCCCTGCCAAACAAACCCAGAGAAATATGTTAAAGAAAG